GGCGAGCCAGAAGGCGCTGTCGCAGCCGTAGCAGTGTGCAGCCAGGTGATCTGGGAGCCACCGTGTCACCTGTGGGGACAGCCAGAGGGTCAAGGACAGGGCAGGGGGACATCTGCTGAGCTGATCCCCSCTTCCCCAGCTCCCAGAGGTTGTGAAGCAGAGGGCTCATAGGCACAGGTACTGGTATGTCAGGTGTGAGACGARCGCAACGCAAGGAAGAGACTTCCCAAGAAGTGGCACACGACCAAAGGCTGGAGGATAATTTGAATTAGGATTATCCCAGAATGAGCAATTTACAGGGATTCAGTCTGTACCTCTGTATCCTGTTTATCCACCTGTTCCCAGCTGGCTTCAGAGAAAATCTCTGTGCTGCAGCGAGACAAGCAGTTCTGATCCAGATTGCTTTCCGAGTCAGGAATAGAYGTCTGTTGGCAAACAAACACAGCTGAACGGAACCCCCCAGATCCCTGTTCCACACAAATAAAACCCAGAAACCCACACAGGGCAGGGCTGGACCCTCTGCTGATGGGATGATGTGAGGCAGAGTGGATTTAGAATCCAGTTTCTGCTGCAAAGTTCTGGGAAGGCTTTGGGTGATTAACCAAAAACTGCACCCTGGGGCTCCAATTCCAGGGTCCTGATTCCTTTCCAAGTTTGTTTCACTTTCAAAACTACAATTAGTAATACAGATATCATTTTGCTGGCAAAGATTTGGKAAAATACAAGCCAAATTGCATATGGAAAACTCAGAATTTGAACCATTTATGTTCTATATATAGGTTTGGGAGAATAATGCTTCCTAAATATAGTCTGTCCAGGTAGAGGTGGATTTTAACTCACTTAAACCTCAGCCAGCTCTTAAAATACATTAAAATAGCAAGAAATCTTGGGTTAATGCTTTTTTTGTGCCTGAGAAATGGACGTTCCTGGAGTTTCAGAAGAAAAACTGTAACTCCCAAGCTGAGGCACAATCAGAAGGTGGAGATCAGGTCCTTAAAAACGTGGAATTTTCTGGAGGCACTGCCAGCCCTACACTGCAGCTTCTGAAGGCCCTTAAAAAATGGGAGCAGAATCAATCAAGCCAAAGCACCCAATTTCTCCAAGGAATTCAAGCTTTCAGCAGTGACACCAAGCCCAATGAGCACCTTGTGCTGCACCTCCAATGGGAAGAGCCGAGAAGGCTCCAAGGATTTTTCACAACAAACGTACCTGGGACTATCCAGCACCTCTGCCACTTCTAAACAGTGAATTCAACAAACACAAGTTGGGAACCTCCTATTTAAGGTTTTTGTTTTTTTTTTCAATTTTGCAGGCATATAAACCACATACGAAAAGGAAATTTCTGATGGGTGTTGCGTCAGCCTCAGGAATTACAGGCAAGTGCTCAAACCCACAGGAAAATAATTCTCCACAAAAGTCTCTACTTTTTCAACTTTAAATGCTGCCAAATAAAAGCACAAATGGTTTAAAAGCTCCCTTACAGTTCCTAATTTGTTGAGAGAAAAACCCTCATTGACATAGCACCGCCACAAAAGCTCATGTAATTTATTCCAGTTAATTTAGAATTCCAGTCACTGAGCCTGGAGCACCTGACAGGGACGGTGTGACCCTGATGGGTTTGAGCTCACAGAGCTGCCACTGCAGCTGGGATCTGCAGAGAACCAAGGGTTCACCCTATGCTGCTGTCCCAAAAATGGCACAGGAAAATATATTTGCTCTACATGAAAGCAGCAGTAACCCAGGGGTTTGGTTGGTTTTACTGGGGTTTGGTAACCCAGGGGATTTTGGTAACCCAGGGACTTGGTTGCTTTTACTGGCATTTGGTAACCCAGGGGGGTTTGGTTGGTTTTACTGGGTTTTGGTAACCCAGGGGGGTTTGGTTGGTTTTACTGGGTTTTGGTAACCCAGGGGGGTTTGGTTCATTTTACTGGGGTTTGGTAACCCAGGGGGATTTGGTAACCCAGGGGGATTTGGTTGGTTTTACTGAGGTTTGGTAACCCATGGGGGCTTGGTTGGTTTTCCTGAGGCCAGGGAAGGTGTTTGGGATGGCCAGGGGTGTGTGCGCCGCTGTGCAACACCCATCTGGAAATAAACCTTTCTGCTCAAACACAAGTTTAGTGACATTATCAGTCATCAGTATCTGCCATGATCAGGTCCCCAGGCAGTGTTTGCTCTCTTCAGGATGACCTGGAGAGGTCTGCAAGGGCTCCCAAGTCATGCCCTGAGCCRTGAGCCAGCAGCTGGAGGGCACGGCGAGCTCCGCGCTCGGCCCAGTGACGCTCACTCACCACTTCATCTCCGTAGTCGCCATTGAGCCGCAGGGAGCTGTTGAGGATCTGGCTCTCCAGGCGGCTCCTCAGCTCCTGCACCTGCTTCTTGAGGGTCTCCACCTCCTGCTGATGGCCCGTCTCGATCTGCCGCAGGCGCTGCTGGATCACGTCGCTGTACACAGGCATCCCGTCGTCGTCCAGGTGGCTGCGGGCCGGCTGGTCGGGGCTGCCGGCTGCCGGCTGTTTCCCCAGCTGGCCGAACATCCATTTCTGGTGGAGGTTCCTCAGGTGGAGCTGAGCAGAGCTGCAGCTGGCAGCGGACACCTGGCGGCTCAGCGAGGCCTTGATGCGCCCGTCCTCGCCATTGACGCAGTGTCCGTTGGTGGCGGGGAGCTTGGGCGCCGGCAACGCCGCGGGTTTCTCGGCCAGTTTGTTCTCCGGCTCCGGCTCCCCATTACAYACCACCTCATCTTTGCGGTCTGCTAAAGGCAAGGCACAAGGGGAAGGCATCGGGAGGTGTGTGCTGCTGCTACCAGAAGTCCTAAGTCCTCTTGATCCCAGTTTTTGGAGCTCTATCATGCACTCCCCCTCGGGCCTGTTCTCCAGAGTTCGGGACAGCTCGTCGGCGCTGTTGGCGAAGGGGTGAGGTCTGTGGCACAGAGCTCTCGGCAGGAGCTCGGGCTTTGCTTCGCTCTCCGTTAAGGTTTCTGTGGAGCTTTCGATGTTGGACGTCCTTGCCTCGGGCAGGGCTGTCAGGGGGAAGGCGAGGCCGGCCTGGGCTGTGCTGTAYGGGCTCTCCTCTTCACCTTTCCCAGCACCTTCTTCCTCCGTGTTGTCTGGAGCATCTCTGTTCCCGGAGCCCTCGGGAGGAACAGCYGGCACTGCTCTCCCCTGAGGTACCTTCTGCAGAGCGCTGCTGGGGTCGCCGTGCTCGTCCTGTCCTCTGAGCTCCAAAGCACCGTGTGAGGCCAGATGTGGGTTGGCTGTGGGATTGTTCGTTACAATACCTGCATCCTCCTYGGCCTTTTCCCCACACACATTGTCAGCTCTCTTCTCCTTATCCTTATCCAGGCCAACCTCATCCCCTTTCCCTGCCATCTCCAGGCCGGTCCTCAAGTGCTCCTCCAGCCCAACATCATCTTTAGTGGCCTCCTGCAGAATGTTCTCCATCTGTCCCTCCGCCACCCCTGCTGCCACGGAGAGCTCTGCCCCCAGGGGGGCCCTGCCCTGCCTGCCCAGCCCGTCCCCCTCGAAGGGGTCGTCCCCRGGGGGGCCCAGGCTGCTGAGCTCCAGGGAGCGGCGGTGCTCCTGCCACTTCTCATTGAGGCTGGGGTCGCTGCTCCGGCGGTTGGTTGTAGGCACACTGCTGTCACAGGCTGTCGTCAGATTGTCAAAGGATCTTGTCTTTGGTAACCTGMACAGGGACAAACAATCCCAGCCCCAAGTCAGAGAATGTTTTTATAAACATTGAGCTWCTGTGGTTGAAAACCAGCCCCCCARTTAGGACAGCAACAATCTGCCAACTAATGGACTTGTGGGGAAGTATTATCCAGGAGCACATTCCAACCATCTGTAGTGCAGAGCTGCTTCAGTACTTCCTTTGTTTGCCATCAGGAAAATATGTTCAACCAGACTTCAAACATTCCCAGATTAATCCCTTTACCACCGAGCCCAAATGCTTACAGGCTGGTCACACCTCCTAATTAACATGTGCTCAGAGTCATTGTACAAAAAAGCAAAAGAAACCGTTATGCAACACTGAAAAAGAAATTCAAGATAACCAAAGGAAAGCTTATATCCCACAAGGATAGAAGGAATTCTCCATGGCYATGTGACATCCAGAGTTTAACTCTATTTGTCCAGTTTCTCTCTGACACAGTGTCATCCCTGAAATGTGACAGCTTCCAAACCCAACCCATGGACACACTGCACTGGGGCAGCTCAGTCCCACACCCAGGAGAAACCCAGCCCTCCCACCACAGCCATTCTCCTTTTAAATCCCCCAATATTCTCTGTTGATCTTACTTTACAGGACGGGATTTCTGGGCTCTAGGCTCACCTGCCCAGAGGCTGCTCTTCAGGGCTAGAGCCTGGCACAGGGTACGGGGCACAGGTGTCATCGGCGGGCGTGGAGGGCGAGGAGCAGGGCAGGTAAACGGCGCTCCAGAGCATCAGGTTCCGCACATGGCACACGGGATACAGCACCTGCGAGGGGGACACGGGGGAAGGGTCAGCTGCTGGCTCCCAGCAGCAGGAATTCAGMTGAGAGTGGCACTTCATGGGGCAGGACTCAGCTGGGACATGTGCAGCCCATGCCAAGGGCCAGTGACCGTGTTTCATCAGCCACACTCAGGTCTAGAATGGCTTTTTCTGTCAGAGAGAGAACAATGCCAGCCTACAGCTCCTCCTCAATGAATTCCTGCAGAGGTCTCTGTGAACCTACACCTTCACAGCTCCTTGAATTCAGTGGTTCACTGTGAATGCTGAGGTTACCCTGTACCAGAGGGAGCTGGACTCATTCCATGAATCCCAATCCATCACAGCTCACCCTGGCTCTAGGAGAGGCACCCAGTGTACATACTCAGCACATGCAGAGTACTCTGAAGAAGCAGCTTGCTCTTAAAAGGGATTCCTTGACTCTGGAATTGCTGTTTCACTCGAGAAACACATGGGCTTGCTCTAGCAATCCCACTCTTTCCCAAGGAAAAGCAGGCAATGGCAGAGGAACAGTCTTATCCATCAGACAGGCACTGCCCAGGCTCCCCAGGGAATGGTCCYGGCCCCGAGGCTGCCAGAGCTCCAGGAGCGTTTGGACAGCGCTGCCAGGGATGCACAGGGGGGATTGTTGGGGGGTCTGTGCAGGGCCAGGAGCTGGGCTGATGATGCCAGTGGGTCCCTTCCTAAATGGGGATATTCTGTGATTCTCTGAACACTCAGCTTCCCTGGCACTGAGCAGGGGAAGGGCTGAGTGGTGCCTGCTGCTCTGAAACAACTGTGGCTGTAGCAGAGATGTGGCTGCACCAGAGGCTCCTTTTAAAGTCTGAAGTAAAAACCACAAAAAGATGAACCCAAGGCAGGAAATAACCCCAACTCCCACGTGCAGGAGGGGTGTCCTTGTCAGTATTTCCTGAGAACAGAGGCAGGGGCAGCCCAAGGACAGAACTGTCCCCTCAGCACTGTAAGAGCCCTCTCTATGCTCCTCCTGCCATTTTCAGGGAAATTCAGATGCACCCCTAGCTTCATCTCCCCTAGGCTGTGTGTGCTCTGCCTCACATTCTCCTCATGCCTGCCAGGTGGGAAGGCTCCAAGGGCTCATTGCAGTGGCTAGCCCAGAGCCAGGGCACACACAGCCAAGGAGAGCTCAAGGGAGTAGAAAATTCATCTTTTTACAACCGCTGTGGGCATAAAATTCCTTCCTATTTAGCCAGGGTTTAATTTTTCTCTCAGAAACAASTGAAAACTACATCTGTCATATGCAAACCCACAGTCCTTACAGTTTGGTTTATGACATCTGATACTTGCATAAATAAAAAGGGYTTAAATATTTATACAAGTCCTTGCAGTCCTAACCATGATGTCATTTGGTGTTGGCTCTCAGGCCCGTGCTCTGCACCCCTCAATGCAAGGTGACCCTGTRTCAAACCCATAACTGAGCTCCTTCCCAGAGCCTTCAGTGAGCTCCTACCATGGAAGAGCCAAACTGAAAACMTGCAGGTATCAAGAAAAACAAAAGGTACACTAAATAATCTGAGCCACTATTTCTGTTCAGACTTAAGATTAATTCAGACACAGTGTCTAGGTTTGCAGGCAATTTTGTGTCACTTCTCTGACACAGCTTAGTTCTCTAGAGAGGTCTATTTATCAAACACTGAAATGTTTTCTGTTACAAAAAATAAAATATTTAGTTACAGAAAGCACATTTCCAGCATGGAGAAATTTCTGAGGTGGCATTTGACATTCCTCAAATATCACCAAAATTAACTTAAGACTTCAAACCTTAGCCTAAGCTGGGTGTTGGAAGGTGAATGTCAGGGAGAGTTGAGCTGCACTGGAATCACCGCTGTTCAGAGAACCAGAGAAGGGTTTGGGCTGGAAGGGACCTTAAAACCCATCTAATTCACCTCCTGCCATGGGCAGGGACACCTTTCACTATCACAGATTGCTCCAAGCCCCRCCCAGCCTGGCCCTAGACCAGGGATGGGACAGCCACCCCACCTCAGCTGTGGTTGAAGCCCAGGTCACCATGTCCCACTGCTGGGTTTTTTCTCAGGGGTCACCCCCCTCTGGGGATGCTATTTGGGGGAGCCCCTGGGGCTCTTCCACAGGCGTGGGTTGGGATACATACAGATTCCGACTGGGAGGAGTAGAGCAGGTTTTTGAAGGCTTTGTTTGCTGCCCGCAGCAAAGACCAGACAGAGCAGGTCCGTTCCTGAGTGTGTTTCTCTCCTCTCTCTTTCGCATTGTTGCACAGGAATGTTCCAAAGAGGCAGGAGTAGGTGTGCTGCACCAACTTCACCTGCAGAGCCACACACACACGTGTCAGCCCGCCCAGGGGATCAGCCTCACCCTCCCCTGGCAGGGCCAACCCCCTCCCCAGAGCTGCCACACCAATCCAGGGCATTTTTCACATACTTCCCTACAAACCAATTGCAAAGGAATGCAAGGRGAGCGGAATTTAAAAAATCATAACTGAAGAAATTCAGGAAAAATGTAACATAGAAAGACAAAATATTTGTTCATAATCAAGTCATGTTGATACAAACTCATTGCCCTGCAGGCCAGGCAAAGCAGAATCATGATTCCTCTGCTGCAGAACATTTGTGCAGCACAGAAATGCTCATCATTAATCAATCCATGCTGTGGGCCCAGCCTAACAAATGCCAGCATAACTTTAGAAATATCAATGACTTCCTTGGGATGATTTGGATGCACAAATGAAGACAAGTAGTTCAATTCTGTAACAAATTAGGGGTTCACTCTACAAAGGCCAGCACAGCACGGGTATGATCTCTCCCAGGCTATGGAGATTAGTGGTGTGCTGTGAAGCCAGTTACTACCTGTTGTATCTCATTTCACAACTGAGCTACCTGGGGACTCTACAAGGACTCAGTTACATGGCTGAGCTGGCAAGTGGTAATTCCAGTCAGCCACAATCACAGGAATGTGCCTGAAATCTCTCAGTGGATCAGGCACTTCATAAAAACTTTTATTCTTCAGATTACTGGTCCTGCAGTCCATGACTGCCACTTCCCCAGACACCTGAGAATTGAATTGGACCATCCTGGGTGAATTCCTAATAGGAATGCCGTCTGCTTCCAAAGAAGGAAAGCACAGTTCCTATATAATTTTCATCACAGCTCCTACACATTTTCAGCAAAGAAACTGAAAAAAAAAAAAAATGAACGGAGCAGGTTGTTTTTCGAGGAGTATTCAAGTCAAAAAAAGATCAAAGCAGGAGGGAGTTTGTATTGCCAGTACAGAGGATTTTTTTTCCCCGCTGTGTGGATGTTTTACACCTCTTAGGTGAGACTAYTGAATTAATAAAATTTATTCCTTTAAATTCTAAGGGTCCTGCTCTTGTTTTAAGAGTGAAGATGGAGCATRCAAGTGCTTTTGTCTGTTGTATCTGGGCAGCTTTCCCATTCCCCTTATCAGCATACACAGAATATATTCAWATACAGATGTAAAATAATGGATTGGTTTGTGCTGGAAGAGACCTTAAAGCCCATCTCATTCCACATTCCACCCCTTGCCATGGGCAGGGACACCTTCCACTATTCCAGGTTGYATCCAACCCCCATCCAACCTGGTCTTGGACACCTCCAGAATGTCACAGAAAGGTGAGAAAAATCCACCCCCGGGCTCTCCAGCAGTGTTTAGCAGCAGTTTATAAACCAGCAATCTCTCAACTCACAAGGAATGCTTCATTAAACTCGAAGGAGCAGGGGAACTGCCTCTGGAGCTGATGGACACAGTCCAGCCACTGCAGAAACACCGGGCAGCGCTCGTTGAGGTCGTCCGAATTCTCTCCGTGGCCACAGCGATCTGCAAACTTGTGGCCAAAATCCAGCCACTCCGTCTCCACTAGCACCTGGAAACCCTGCAGGAAKGAAAGGACACATGAAGGATTCCTGRTTTTCTTTGGATCAGTTTTCTGAGATGGTCTGAGATGTGTGGGATTTGCTCTGTTCCCTCTCCTATTTCCCCTCAGCACTGGGCTCATTACTTCTCCTTACTGCTCTCCTGAAYGCCTCTGTGCTCTGCAATGAAATTAGGACAGATAACGATTCCCAAACTGCATGAACAGGAAAGGGAATAAGGCAGGTTAAATCCTCAGTGACTGGCAGGGAGGATCCTGATACSAGCCCTATCTCATTCAGGGACAGACAAGCTGGAACTTCATCTTGCCAAAGCTTCTGGATCACGGTATCCAGTATTTGGACATATTATTTGAAAACTTTTCTTGAAAATGATGGTCAGATTCATGTGTCAGGAAAGAAAATCATCCATCCACAACAGGACATCCAAGTTCAGGGAGAGCAGGTGCTTGTCAGTGTGTACACCAGTCACAAGGTTGATTAAAGGCTCACTTGAGTGATTTTTCATGAAAAGGGCAAAGAACATTCCCAAACAGTGCCTGGGTGAGCAGCTGAATGTCACACCTTGTCTCACAGAACCTGCAATCCATCACAGGGCAGGAAGGTTTTGGTTCTTAGTGGAAAGAAAAATTGTAGAGAATGTTTATCGAGGCAAAAGCTGTGATTAGAGCCAAAATAATGGCTGTGATTAGAGSCCAAATAATGGTTGGCAGCTGAGAAGCTTTCAATCTGACAGTACTGAAGAGGCATTTTCCTCAATGTTTCTGATGCTGGTACAGACAGCTACAGTTTATGGTCTGCTCTGGCTGACAGGGAAGCCACAGGGTGTGCACAGCACAACTCTGTTCTCCCAGCAGGAAGCACAGCACCCTTTGCAGGACCAGGAGCAGATCCTGTGCCCAGGCCAGAGCAGCAYGTTTTGCCTGATGGATGCCAACTTCTAGAACCCATATGGAAAAGAATCCAGGAAGCTTTCACACTCCCATCCAAAAGGCTTTGCTGCAGCTCCAGCTTCTGGTCCTTGTGTGTATTAGGCTCTAAGCAGCAGTTCACAGCAGTGTTCAGACAGGGCTCTGTTCTGGACAACAAAGGCATCGTGCCTGTGTGCTGGCAGATGGAAGCCAGCCAGCACATATCCCACAGTGCCAAGAAGGGATGGAAGGGGGAAAATCAGGAACAATGTAACTGACAGAGGGCAACCAAAATGGAAAACTGGAAAACCATGCAGGTGCGAAATCCAGCAAAGAGGAAGGTTCAGTGTCAGTGCTTGGCTGAGAATCTGCAGGGGTGCAGCACAAGCTGCAATTGCAGCACTTTGTACTCCATATTCCTAAACTAAATATGGGAAAACACAGACCATGACTGTGCAGTTACAGCAGAGGGAATGTGATTTACTCCTGAGTTAGAGGTACCTACACCTGTGTAAGTCTACAGGTGGAAAACTCCTGCCAGCTTCAGTGCCTTTGCAGTGGAGAAACCTGAAATAGTTCACAGACAGACCCCCTCCAAAGAGCCCAACCCCTGGCAGCTGCTTTACCCACCTCTGTGGTCCTGTAGTAGGGGTCCAGCAGGAGTTTGGCCAGGGCCACGATCTGGGGCGTGCGGTCCCAGCCGTCAGAGCAGTGAACCAGCACCGGCCGCTGGTCCCGATCCACGGCGTGCACCACGAGCAGAGCCGATTTCAGGAGCACTGACAGGTGCTGCAGCCACTTGGTGCTCTCCAGAGCTGACAGCCAACTAGAGGGAAACAAAGAAGGACAGTTTTTGCTCTTTTAAAATGCTTTCAGGTTCGGATGTCTGAATTTATCACGGCGAAACTCCTGGTTTAATAAGCTGTGAGTGTCACTCTGGAGTATTTTTCATTTGTGTCTTGTTAACGCTTCCCCAGAGATGAAAGGAGCAAAGCCACAGAGCCAGCCCAAGCAATTGCCAGACTCTGGGATGCAGTGAAGGTTTGGATCGACTCTGAAACCAGGGAAGGCTTTAGCAGCAAATTCCCAGCAGGGAAGTGGGAGGGAAAACAGGGCTGGGGTAACTACAGCGAGGATCCAATCTCAGAAATCCCCAAGATGAGGGGCCATTACAGGGTAGTTACCCCACAGCCTATGAAATATTATGAAATGACACCATAAATGAGTGAAATACATGGAACACCACCAGAATTTTCCAAAGGAGAGCCTTTGGTGAGGATTAAAGAGCTGGGAATAGCAGGTCAGCCTAAGTGTGAGTGCTCAGAAGCCCACCAGAAGAAAGAACATTGTAGTATAAATATTCAAGGTTACATTGTAATTTCAAAACTAATTTTCTCGGTTCACTTCAATCAGGATAAACCAATGACTTCCACAAAAATGGAAAAACATAGCTTAGCGTTATTACCAAGGGAAAATCCACTGAATTTCAATTTACAAATCATCAGCAGAAGAGCGTGGCTGCAGAAATGTGGAACCACAGGCCCAAACCCTCAAACTTCCACTTACTTTCCTGGATCTGGCATTTGTGTGCAGAGCAGACGCAGCGACTGGAAGCTCTTCCGGATGGAATGGATGTTTGCCATCCCCATGAACACCACTTCACAGTTTGGGTAATACTCTGCAGGGAGACAGCAAGACAGAGGGAACAAACTAACAACTACCTTTCTAAAAGAAGCTTTTTTTTTTTTTTTTGTAAAAACAACCCTCTGTTGCTGTGGACAGATGAAATAATGTGTTTACGAAGATTCTGTCAGTCCTTGGAGCTCACTGGGTATTCCAGACATGACTCCACAGCCCAGCAAAACAGGAAGCATTGAGCAAAGTCCCGCTGTATTTATTTGCARTGTTTCACTCCAGGTTACAAAAAGCAGAGTGCAAACCTATGGGAACAGGGATATTCCTGCACTCCAGGTCCCAGGATGTTTGTAAAAAGACTGAGAAGGATCAAAAGATGCAAAGCATAAATAATATTTAACCAGTAATTTCTGATGCAAATTATACATTCCTTTTCTAAGCACTCAAAAGGGCTGAAAGGTTACTTCATCCACTGCTTTCTTCTGAGGGGAGTTGTATGAGGAAGCACCACATGTGACAAATACTGGGAGCTCAGGAAAACAGAAGATATGTGGAATTACTTTGGATGTGCTCAAGCAATACTGGACAGACAGGGCCAGTGCTCAGGGGGCACCTGAAGAGGGCCAGAAAATATGAGTTCAGTGGTTTCTCCTATTTGTAGTTTTCCCCCTGCTGTGATGCTTCTGCCTGCACAAGAATGATGATACAAGAACTAACATGACTGTTTCTACAGGAGAAAAATAATCAGGATTCAGAATCTGGGACACTGAGTGCACCAGAAAATTCAGGAGTCTCTGATGTTTTGTATGACTTGATTTCCCAACTCTTTAAAAGCCCAACAAATGCTGGGCCAAGCACAAAGAGGGASTGTGTAACTCCAGGAGCAGCCACAGACAATATCAGACAATTTCAGCWTTTTTTTTGTCTTTTTACTGAATTGTATTTAAAATAAAGCCAAGCATAAATATGCTATTTTTATACAGAGAATGAAGTAACCTGGCAATACYTGCAGAAAACTTAGCAGCAAAAAGCAATATAGGTTTTATTGAAGGTGACAAGCTGCTTGAAAACCTTCTCCACAGAAATAAAGAACCAATATACAGGAAGAAAATCAAACTTCCTATATACTCTGCTTTTCTGGTTTGAGATTGTACTCTCTGATGAAGAATTATTTAGCAGTTTTGAGGTGTTAAATAGAAACTTYGTATTTTCTTACTGGTGGCCACAAATCGAAATGCAGCCATTGCAGCAAAGACCAAAACAAAAATAAATGGTCAAAAGAGCTTTCGTTATCTTATCTCCAGTTTTTGTGTCTGGGATTTTTTTTTCCAGCCTCTCCACCCACAGAATTTTAACAGGCTGCATTCATACCCAACAGTGACCATAAATAATATCGTGTTTATAAAACCACCAATTCACAAGTGCCAAAGAACACAGAAAGTGGTGTTGCAACTGTAYTACACATGCAAGGTGAGGCAGGATTGCAGTTGCTATGATATAAATACGAAAAAATGTTTTAGCTTTAGGAAAACTGCTGAGAAGTTGTACTTTGCACAACCATTCTAGAATCTTTTCTTCTCTGCAGTCAGTGGGTTTTACAAGTTCAGGGTTTTTTAGACATGAGCACACTGGACACCTTTGTCTCTCTCTAGTTGATACATCTGACTCAGCAAGGGAAAGCTCTTCAGCAGATTCCACAGGGTTCAGCATTTACTGAGCACTGTTGCCAGCTGGGTTAATGGCCTGAGAACAGAGTAATTAACAGTGAAACCTGCCCTTTGAAGGGCTGGGTGAGGGTTGCTGCGATCCAGAACGTTCAGACCGATGAGCAGCGTACAACCAGTACTGAAGGGTGTCAGGGTAATTCCATCTGAACAAATCCCTTTGACTGATTCRGTGGAAAACCAAGGAGGAATTGTGCTCACCTGGGCACTCACAGCCACCCCCTTTGGCTCTGTTGGCCACGGCTGCTGCGTAGGATCGCGCGTCCAGGATCAAAAGCTTCTGCGGCTGGATTGCCAAACTCTCTGCTCCTGAGGCATTGGAGATGGAGGAGTCTGGGGAGGAGGAAACAAGTAAGGAGCTGAAAGGATCCTTCTGACATCAGTTACAACATGATTCCCTCAGTCCCACAATGCATTGGAGAAGGGGGACTAAATACAACACATTCAATCTGTTACAGCACAGGAGATTAAACTTTGACATAAAGCCCTGCCCTCTACAGAAAAGCAACACGGAGCCTTACCAAATTCCACATCAGAGAGGTCCCCTCCATTGGAGAAATCTCTGGAACAATTCCCATTCATTAACTTGTTACTGTTGGACCTGGAGTCTGAGGCACAGGCTTTGGCTACGGACTGGACCAGGTGCTCGTCGTCGGCGTTTCTCCAGCCCCACCAGCTCACCTCGGGCTGCCCACAGCGTGAGATCACTGCCCCATTGCTCTGGTGCCTGCAAAAACAGCGAGTACAGAGTTAACAACCACAATAAAGAGCACAGAGGGCACAAAATATTCCACGGTGTGCTCYAGTAGCTTCATTCCCATTGGGGAGCATAGCTCAGCTGTTATYCCCACCTGGGATTCAGTGGCAGCTTCCTTTCAGAGTGATGGCTGTGACCACAGTCACTGACAGGGGAAAGTGAAAGCAAGGTCAGGAAGAGAAAACAAAGCATCTTCTTGCTCAATATTGGGGCCTGTTGGCCAGTGAAAGCTGGGGAGTGTTYTGGAACAGCAGGTGTGGTGCAAGAGAGGAATGCAAAACCTGCTGGTGGGGGATAACTGAGCAACACCCTAACCTGGACATGCTTTGTGCCTCCTGGGAGGTGACATTCAAAAAAATCCTATTTCTTTATATGTCTGAAGATTCAGTAGTTATTTCCTTAAATCTGACCTGGCTTCTTGTATTACACATAAAGAACAGATCTGGAATAATTAAAACTTATTGAACCATTGCAAACAYGCTCTGAAAAAGATTTCAAGACTCCCCTAAAATCTGTTATAAAAAAAGGACTGAAATGAATCATCACAGTAATTCCACTGACTGCCTTTGTGCTGGCACATCCCACTGCTTCCATCAGCTCTGAGACTCCCCAGTCACCCAAATGTTTGCAGCTGGCAGGAACAACCTCCTCCCTGACCCTCCCCAGCAGTCGCTGAATTCAGGGAGCTCGGCCCTGGGGGAAGGAGGCCCAGCTGTGGGTACAGAGAGCTGCAGGTGGAGCAGCCAGAGCAGCACAGACACAATTTCTGGGCCACCTCAAAATGCTTAATCCCTGTCTCATGTCCCAGCTCAAATATGCCAGCAGTCATCTACCCACTGCTCTTCCCTATTTATATCAAAGAATCAYGGAATGGATTGGGATGGGGGTGTCTTAAAGCCCATCCAGTGCCACCCTTGTCATGGGCAGGGACACCTCCCACTGTCCCAGGCTGCTCCCAGCCCCAATGTCCAGCCTGGCCTTGGGCACTGCCAGGGATCCAGGGGCAGCCACAGCTTCTCTGGGCACCCTGTGCCAGGGCCTSCCCACCCTCCCAGGGAACAATTCCTTCCCAATATCCCATCCATCCCTGCCCTCTGGCACTGGGAAGCCATTCCCTGTGTCCTGTYCCTCCATCCCTTGTCCCCAGTCCCTCTCCAGCTCCCCTGGAGCCCCTTTAGGCCCCAAAAGGGGCTCTGAGCTCTCCCTGGAGCCTTCTCTTCTCCAGGTGAATAACCCCCTCCCCTGCTGCCCACACTGTGGGACGAGCCCAGCACATACATGCACTTCTGGAAATTCTGCTCTTCAAGCAGAGGTGTCCCTGGGCGATGCTGTTCTCACCAGGAGTCCCACCTGAACCCTGGATTTCCAAAGCATGCACATGCCAATTACAATTCTTATATGTTATGATGCAGGAAGATTTCAGAGCCCTCCTGAAAACAAAGTGCTCACCTCAGCTGCAAGACAAGCAGGAGTTGTTCAATTCCCTCTAACCAGGGAACCCACAGTGCTGAGGGTCAGTTTAATCTTTAAGCAAATCTCAATAGTCCCAGCCCCAAACAGGAAGCCAGCCCACCCAAAGCAGCAAATGTTGACTTTTTCACTCTGAGCACTCTGATGGATATTTCTGGAGGTGTGACAGGCTGGTTTGTGCTGTGCTGTCAGAGCTGTCACCCGCGGACGCTGCGCGGCACCTCCTCCGCAGTGTCCCCGCGGGCACCGCGTGGGCGCCGCCGCCTCCTGCTCCTCATCCAACAGCAACACAGGGACACGGCTCCCTGGTGCAGAGCCTTCAAGTGATCAAACAGGCTGGGATACGGGGTTTGAAGGATTTTTCATAGCTCTTTTGTAATTGTTTCATATAAAATCCCTTCAGTGAGAGGAAGCACTGACACGCCGCGTTAAGCGAGGCGAAGGAAAAGCGATGCGAAGCCACGGCTCTTACACCAGGTGCCAGYCGACTGCAGGCACAGGGAAATGGATTTCTGCTGGAATTAATAGCCTTCCACAAACAGCTCTACCCATAGCAAATTAGTTCAGGAAAAAATACGTGCCAATCACTGAAAGGCCACCTAGTTCCCTGCTACGCTTGCACAAATAAAAGAAAATAAAACATCATTATACGTGTAAGAAATCTATTTTGAACAGAGCAGCTCATTTATTTTTCCATATGTTCTCCCAGATTTCATTACTACCTGCTGCAGAATAATTTTCATAGGTTCATAAAGAGTTATATTTTCATCTGTGGGTTCTTGCCTCGCATTATAACACAAATAATGAAGAGTCATTAGGCCAGGAGATGAGCTCCTTGGTGGCAGTGCWGCCCTACCAGTATCCTGCACAAACCTGCCACGTTCAGAGGGACCAGAAATCAGCACACAATTCTATTTAGGGGCATGCTGGAGGGCTGAGGAATCTCTCTCATTCCAACTGGTCTGGCCACAAGGATAAAGAACAGCCAGTGTGATGCTGAGGTTCTTGGGAATAGAGCTGGGGTAAGAGGGCATCACTCCGAGCTCAGGAACAAAACAAAACAAAACTATTCAAAAAGCAAAACCTCCACGGCAAATTCCATAGAGATAAAGAAGCCTGCAGCCCCCTGCAGAACCCAAGAGTAAATCAGCATTAGGTAACTCTAAAGCCCCTTCACAAGCTGCTGGACAGTTGGAGGATGCATGAACACCTCTGCACAGCCCTCATCCTCCCTGTGCTCAAACCGCCTTGCAGCACAACAGTAAATCCCCCAATCTCTTATAACCACAGAGCAGGGAGGACTAGGAGGGGTGAATGGCTCCCTGTACCACATCTCTGAACCACCAGCACCTGCACTGGAAAACCCATTGCTGCATGTCAGGGATKTAAKTCAGCAGCAGCAACAGGGCTGTTTGCCMTGTGCCACAGGATCCCTGTGCCTATGTGGGTGCTCACCCTCAGCAGTGCAAGGCTCAAGGACGTTTCCACACAGAGAACTTCCAGGGAGGCTCTCAGGATGCTGCTCCCATAAGGTAGGAAGCCCTCTCTACTGTCTTCCCAAAAAAMCCCTAAGAGCCTTCTCTATAACATTGATTTTCTGAGGCCAGATTTATCTACAGRAATTATTGTTCCCAGAGAGGCTGAGACTGTGGCTGCCCCTGGATCCCTGGAAGTTTTCCAGGCTTTGTATAGGGAYGGGAGCAGCCTGGGACAGTGGAAGGTGTCCCTGCCCATGGCAGGGGGTGGGATGGGATGAACTTTARCARCCCTTCCAACCCAATCTGCATTTCTGTGACTCCATGAAATATATGAAATTTGTGAATAGATTTCAAAAACTGGAAACAGAAAGAAAAACTCCAGGTTCTGGGTGTGAGATTTCTCCAAAAATCTGATCATTGAACAGAAGCAACACTCCTGACAGTCAAATCTCCATGGAGCATTCCTGGAGCTTGTCTCTGAATTCAGCCTTGACTGCCCTACAGGGAAAATGAATTTCCTGTTGCCAGTGTCTGTCTCTGGTCTCTGTCCCAGTGCTCAGTATCTGAGACAAGTGATTGGGCTAATTTAAAAAAATCCTGATTGCTTCTTTTTCCCCTGAAGTAAAGCAAAAAKAGGTTTAGTACTGTGATCAATAATGAAACTAAATTAAGTCCCAAAATAATTTCAATGGATAAAAAATGTTGAGTAAGTTTTATCCTCCATGGGCAGGGACACCTTCTCCTAGACCAGGATGCTCCAAGCCAGAAATCATCCTCCCCTCACTGCTGTGAGCTCTATTAGAGGCCATAGTGATGAACTGGATGTCTTGAAAAATCTATTACTAAATCTCAAGATAAGGAAAAAAAACGAAATCAAAAAAGAGAAACACTTTTCTCTTGCTGATTTGAAGCCCAGCAATGAAACCCCACATGTGATTTACCACCCAGAGCCTCGACAGAACTGCAGAAAATTGAACATGGGGACAGAACAATTTCAGTCTCTGTGGTCTTTTGACTTTTCAATTGCTCCTCCATAAATCCCTGGAACGCAAGGTTGTTCCCAGCAATGAGAACAAAGTGCTTTCTTTCTGTGCAGCGATGACAGGAGGRGGAATGCTGCCCTGGAGGAGTGTGTTTGTAGGTGAAGTGTCCCCTAATTATGTGACAACTGCAGAAAAGGCCCAAAAGCTGAACCCAAACCCACACATAAATCACATATTTCTCCTTTATACACATATATAACGCATACACACACATTTAGTATGGTAATAATAAAATACCCAGGGTTTTAAGTCAGCATATGCTGGAAAWCATTTTTCTCCYCKCCCAGAGCWGAGTAGAGGAAGGAACAACTACACYATTCCAAAAGAGACCAYGTTAAACCCCTTTGTTGTTTGGGGCGAAAAGCAGGAAAGACAGGAGGATTTAAGGATAATGGCTTACTGCCATGAGCCAATTTGTTCTGCTTCCACAGAACAAGAACCCTTAAGCTCAGCAAACAGTGTTTTGTGGCCTACAGCTCTCCTGCCCTTAGCACCCCCAAACCAGGCTCGAAGGATTTGCCAACTTTCCTGCTCTCCATTCAAGGAATAGGTAGYGAAGCTGAGGGAATATCAGTATTCATTATCTTTTTAATCCCTTTGTCATCTGATGTTCTAAAGAGATTTTAAAGATTTATGGGAGGATAACCACCCCAGGGAAGGGACCTTAGTATTAAATGACAGGTTTATGGGATCATGGAAYGTTTTAGGTGGGAAYGGACCTTAARGCTCATCTCATTCCAACCCCTCCCAGGGTAGGGACACAGTCCACTATTCCAGGTTACTCCAAGGCCTGTCCAACCTGGYCTTGGACACTTCCAGGGATSCAGGGGCAGCAACAGAACATCCACAAAACCCAGAAAATTTGAAAAAACAGATGCTTAAATACATTTCTTACTAAAAGAGCTGCCAAACCCCAGTCTCTCAGACAAGCAGTTTTATTATGAAGAATTGCTGGACTCAATCTAAGGAAGGGACTGTGTAATTAAAACTATCTAAAATATGGAGATAGAGCTAAACTGTACATTAATTTTTGATTTGAGCTTTAGAGCTCCTTCAAGTAATTCTGGTATTTGTCCTTGTTTATACTGCAGTGGGAAAACTAGCCAGATGAGTCAGGGAAAAGCCAAAAGAGCACCCAGCCAGGGAGGCCATTTATCAGTTCTCCACTGATGTCTTCATCTTGCATTTTTTCATTTTCATATTAAGAAAATTTAAAAATCAATCTTAACTGGGGTGACTGCCCCAGGAATGATTTGCAGGAGATGCAAATGCTGAGCGCTCCTGCAGTGTGTGTTTGGAATTCTAAATACGGCCCATTATTCCCACTCAGAGCGCACGTGTAACAAGTCTGCTTTACCCAGCGTGGCCTGAGCACCTTCCAGAATTCCCAGGTAGGGTTTATTCCAGCTCCTCTTGGCCAGAAGTGCCCGTTCCCAGCCTGGTGAAGGCTGCTCCAGCTGTTGCTCACCTGTACACCACGGCCGGGATGCGCTTCCAGGAGCGGAAGCTGGCCACGCTCTCCAGCTCCTTATCGGTGATCCAGGCAGGAACGATGATCTCCTGGGGGTAACTGCCACACAGCCTGGGGGGAAATGGAGCAAAGTCAGGGATCCAGAGCAGCTCCACACTGCCCAGAGAACAYGAACCTTTTGCTAATTGCTGCTTCCCTGTAGGTTAAGAAACTCCCCCTTCTCCAGCATTAAATATGGAGGGATGGCTCTTCCTCCTTCCCTCGACTTGCAGAGGCCGAGGCAGAGATTCCTCCTGCAGGGACAATGAGCACCAGCTGCAAGTCGTCCTTGTGCAGAGGCAGAGCACAGRAACTGCTCCAGCACAGTGTTCCAGCTGGGCTTGCTGTGAGCTGCATCAGGGAGCAGCCAGAACACCCTGTCCCCCCAGCTGAGGATCACAGAACGCCTTCCTCTGCTCCACAGCCTTCGTCTGCACTTTCAGTACCTCAGAAAATGTTTCCTCTTATTTATTCAGCTACAAATTTAACTCTTCCATACCTGTCTGGGGTYCCTCTTTAATACATGTTCTTACAACATTCAAACTCCAAATAAGTTCAAACTCTACTCTTTGCTCACTTAAGATCTCCCTTAGAATGCTTATTCTCTAAGAAGCCGCATCAAAATCTGGTATTTCCAAGCTTGAAAAGCTGTGGCAGCTAACAAAGCATTAAATAATTTAAAGCACGTATTTTCTATTACTCAACAAAATAAATCATAATTCTGATTGTCCCTTCTTGAGAACTGCAGAAGTTGAAGAAGTTTCAGTAATTGAGTGTTTTGAGATGCAATTTGGCTGTGGAGGAGCAGCCCCATTACTCACTTGTACTTCTCATTGATGTTGGAAATCCTCCAGGCATTGTTCATATCAAACCCCATCCGTTCCACTTCGTTCTTAAACCTGGAAGTTACATGTTCTCCTGGGGATCAAGAGCAGAGGGAGAAAATGAATGGAAAATGAGGAATTAAGATTCCTACTTTRCAAAATAATCAGAAAAAAACAGCACATCCCCAGTCCAAACCCACCAGCTGCATTTCACAGCCTCATTTTGACATTTGCACTGATGTCTCTCAGTGGCCAACTCTTCAGAAATCCAAAAGTCCAGCAAGGAGTTTTTCTCTGAAATTACCAACTTCTGGAAGTTCATGTAAAAAAAGAATCCCGCAGACCAGACCAAGGACATCAGCAAAGGAACTGAGCTTCATCAGCAATCCAAGTGGGATTGTCAGAAGTTGGGAAGAATTTTGTATCAACGAGAATAATGTGAAGCTCTGGTGAAAGGGTAAGACCTGGAATGTGCTCTGGAACGTGGGCAATCCATTGAATATGCAYTTCCAGCCCCAGGTTTCCTGTCTGGCTGGAGCAAGTCCTGTCACTTATCCTGCATCTCAGTTTTCCATCGTAAATTGGACATTATTCCTCTGTGAGTCATGTGGAGATAGGAAGGTAAAATGCATAAATGATTGTTTGACACAAACATCAGTCACAAGAGCCTTGCAAATTCCTGGATTAATACATTAAAGGAAGTGGAATGAGCCCCATTTATTTCCTAGACACTTTGTTTTAAATTCTCAAAATACAATTGAAAAATATACAATGGCAATAAAGAATAAGAAGACTGAAAGTCTGGAGAATGAGACAAAATTTCCAGGCTTCCAGGGCTAAGAAAAATGTTAAATTGAATGAGCATGTGAGCAGCACTAGATAAGTGATTCTGAAAGTCCATCCATTGCTTGTCTCTTTAAATTACTGTATCATTAAATCCTGAGGCAGAGCAGCACCCAAGGGGGGAAAAGTCTGCTGAAAAATTAATGCTTTAAGTATTACATATTTCTATTAAATATTTTAGAAAACCCTTAAAGTCTTTCAATCCCCCAGATATCTGTAGATATACATTTAACTCTGAGATGTAAATGCACGTGTCCAAAATGATTTTTAATGCCACACTGCAGAACAATTAGAGATAAATATAAATAGGTAAATTAAGAATATAGACAGGCAGCCTAATTACAGGACTTAATTAACTACAATGTTATACAGCTCCTTAGTCARGAGTAGAGGTGAAATTGCACAAAACATTCCAACCAGGCAACAACTTCTTTATCCTTAGCAGTCACTTTTTTATTTAAAGATCCCACAAATTCTTTTGCCAGAGCACCACAAGGATTGGCTTCACCATCAGATGCTCCTTAAAAACTTGGGGTACATCCTTAAGGAGTTTTTTTAGACAGCAAATGAGAATACTGGAAATATCCCCAGTCAGAGCTGCATAGCCCTGGTGGGTTTTAAGAGGAACACATAAAACTACATGAAAATGAAATATTCTGTTTGATTTTTTCCTCTTCATTTTTAGCTGCTGTGAAGCCACAGGTTTTTCTCTTGGAAACAAAAGCCCAGCTTCAGCATTTTGCCCATTCCTCTTGAACTGCTGGTATTTTAAGAGGCACTTTGTGCCAAMACTGATCATGTTTAGAAGCATCCCAGTCCACTCTCACAATCTCAGGAAATGCCAGCCAGACATTTTGTGGGCTTGTGCTTCCTATTAAAGGTGACCCTGTGAGCCATAGCCTGGATCTCTACTACAGACACTGCTAGGATATTTTTCCTGGAAAATACGTTCTGTTGACACTTGGATGGATTTTGAAGCACTTTAGTACTTTTGTCTGTATCTACCAAATAATGGGTTCGCTGGAAAAGAGAAATGACAATGTCTTGGGATTGACTTGTTCARCTCCATTCACTCTGATTTATTTCAGCTATAATTCAGCTTTTTGAAGGAGAGCATCTACCCCCAGTGACAGGCAGCTACGGGGGATAAAGTTATGTTAAAGAAAATTGTTTGATAGAAAAAAGAAGAAAAATTTCAGTTGGTAAAAGTTAATAAAAAGGTAAATGTTGCTTCTTATCTGTAGAAATGTTCAAGGTCAGGCTGGACACTGGTGGAAGGTRTCCCTGCCCATGGCAGAGGGTGGAATGGGATGGGCTTCAAGGTCCCTTYCAAACCATTCCATGATTATCCTAACCTAGCTTCAGGCTGAAGTCCCTCTGTCTCAGCAAGGAAGAGGAGCTCAGCAAGCCTTTCACAGGTTTGCCAGCTCCCACTTCCCTAATTTAGACAGGAGGGAAAAGCCCTGGCTGTGAAACTCTGCTCTGAGGAGATTTTTGGCATCTTCCGTAACTGCTAACGGAGTGTGGGGACAGGAAGAGAGCAGGAGCAGGGCCAGGGAGCTCCTCCTACTACCTGAGTGGTCCCTGCCCTTCCCCAGCAGGGCCATGGGAGCCTGTGCCCAGCTCCAGAGCAGCCTCAGCAACAAGGACAGGATCCCAGAACATCCCTCAGCCTGCTAACTGGGACACTTCCCTCAGGCAGTGAATTGTGACTGACAGGAGACTGCAGAGAGCCTGGAAATCACATTTCTTACTCGYAGCACACTCCAACAAGTGCCCCAACTAACAGCACACCAAGTTTGAGCTTTTATTTAYTCCTGGGATTCTAAAGCTCCCCAGCAAGGATGGTGTTCCACTACAACAGGTTGTGAATGAACCTCAGGAGCAGCTCAGGGCCTCCCTTCTCCTCCCCAGCATCCCTCTTGGAGACCACAGCTCCAGACAGTGACAAAGAACGTGGCACTCAACACAAAATGGTTTTGATTGGAAGCTGCTGCTGTGCTGAACAAAATGCTGTTSGTTTCACACCTGACTGACTGAATCAAATCCATCCCAGTAATTCCCTGGGGATATCCAGGTGCTGCTTTGGTGATCCCAAGGGTGTTCCCACRTACCTGGCCGACACAAGTCCCCGTGCTGCTCCTTCTCACTGGCGTAAACCTCCATGCACCAGGCGTGGTAGGCGAAGGAGAACAGGTCCTCTATCTTGGACGGGGGGCGGATGGCATTGTTCAGCCTCTTCAGCCAGTCCTGGCACTGCTCAAAGGTGGAAAACTGACACCTGTCCCAGAGACAAACAATTCCTGGGTGATTTTCTGTAGGAGATGCCACTCTAGGAGATGACAGGCTGARTGTAAAAAGCTCTGTGAGAGCACAAAGTGAGAATAAACAACTTATTGACAACTTAGTTCTGCTTCCATGTGCACTCTAATGGGAAATAAAAATGAAACCTGTGGATATGAGTAAAAAAACCCCACACTTAGGGAGCCAGGACTGACTGAGCAGCAACGTTCTGTGACTGTGAATAACCAGGGTGTGCCCTGCCAGGAATGAGGGGGACATTTCTCCATGGGTTACCTATGAAAGCAGGGAAAGATCACTGAAGTCAAAGACAGGAATGTGTTACAGCCCCTTCTGACTGCTGGAATTGGGGAAACTCAGAAAACTGGCACACACATTATAATCTACATATTGTAACTGTAACCACAGTCCTGTAAACAGGAACACACTAGGAGAGCTGGGAGGGTCCACGTGGAGAAGAGAAGGCTCCAGGGAGCTTTAAATATTATATCTTTCTATTAAATATTTTAGACAGGGAGAGCTCAGAGCCCCTTTTGGGGCCTAAAGGGGCTCCAGGAGAGCTTGAGAGGGACTGGGGACAAGGGATGGAGRGACAGGACACAGGRAATGGCTTCCCAGTGCCAGAGGGCAGGGATGGATGGGATATTGGGAAGGAATTGTTCCCTGGGAGGGTGGGSAGGCCYTGGCACAGGGTGCCCAGAGAAGCTGTGGCTGCCCCTGGATCCCTGGAATGTCCAAGGCCAGGCTGGACATTGGGGCTGGGAGCAGCTTGGGATGATGGAAGGTGTCCCTGCCCACGGGATGAGATGGGTTTTARGGTCCATTCCAAACCTTTCTCTTTCTGGCTTTGCTGGGAAGCCCAAGTTGCACTTGGCCCACGTTACAGACTGACAACAACCAGTGAGAACATTCCCTGAGAATGTTCAGGGAGAAACAAAATCTCCAAAGCAGTGCATTAAAATTACATCAGCTTTTCTTTTCAAAGAAAAGGATTCCTGGACTCTTTAGAGTAAAAGGGGGGAAATAAATCAGTGATTTATTCTGCTCTGATGTTTTTCTTCCAGATTTTATAGTTATTAAATATTGCCCAAGCATTTACATTTGGTGCTCCTGGTTAATGATCGCATCTGCATCCCCTCGGGGCAGATTTATCACCCCTACCTGCAAATAGCTCAGAGCCATCAAGTGGAAGGAAAAAGCCATGTCCAACATCTCCAAAGAGTTGTGAGGAACTGCAGCCTGAGGTGTTTATTTATCTCCCATCACTGACTGTAAAGCAAGCCCAGACTACTCACTGAGACTGGGTAATTCTCTGTTAAATATTCARACTCAGACAAGATACATCTCACCCTGAATTCTTTTGAAATTCTTTTRAAATTAGTGCTGCAAATAACAAGTATTAGCTTCAATTGAATTCTAGTATTGAAAATACAAATTTTGCTCGTGAGAAAGAACAAGAAGATATTCTTAATCTTCTGTCTCAGCCCCAAACTTCACCACCTCCCAACCAACTGGCACCAAGTCGTCAGTCTTGGAGATGCAGTTTTGAGAGGAAATTGATCCGGAAGGCAAAAATACAAATAAATTGTATTCATTCTACAATTGAAGGGAAATAAATTAATGTAGGGAGGAAGGGTGACTTTCTTAAATGTCAAGAGCTACAAGCGAATAGGAAGTTAAACACAGGATTCAAATTAAACTAAAGATTACTTCCAAAGTAAAATCAGTCCTGGTGAAAAAAACAGCCTTTCAGGAAGCAGCTGACCTGTTAAACATTCTGAGTGCTCAGAGATGGCTGGGGCTCCTTTCATTACACAAAAGGTACTGCCAGCAAACATTTAATCAAAAAGAAATGTTCCTTTCTTCTTAATTAAAGTTCATAGATCAAAATTAATTTCTGCAACAGGGAAGTTTTAAAAAACCCCAACGAGGTGTAACTCAGAGAGTCCTGGCTCAGTCTGGAGTCTGTGGAAGGACAGGCAGCAGTTAAYTGCTCCACGATGCCATCTGATCTCCTGCATTTACCAATCTCCCTCACTTCCTCTTCCCTATGTCCTTCGTTTCCCTTTCCAAGAGGTTACCATGCCTCAAGGATAGTGAGGCACCCTCACAGGAGCTGAAAATGCAGGGTGGGTGAAGCCTCCAAATCTTGATTAAACACATTTCCAATATGTGTGTCAGTGGCTTTAGCAATTTATCTGTATCTATTGATGTGTATCTATTGATACATCCATAATATATTATAACTGATTGTTAAAAGCAGGGAAAACATAGTGAGACTAAAATTCATTTCAGAATAAATCCATGTGGGCTCAGACCAAGGTTTGCTGCTGTCCTGTATCACACCAATCAGACATGCAGCCCACCTTGTGTAAAAACTACACAAAAGCAAAATCTTTTGAGGGCAATCAAGTAAGAAACCCCATTTCCTTGAACCATCCCAGCTGCCCACGGCACGTGGAAAGCAAACTGCACCCTCCTTTAACCCTGAGCCTCTCCTACCTTATAACCTTGCAGTCCTTGCAGGTCAAATGAAGCTGGAATATATCCCGGCACTCCACACTCTCAATGAGCTGCAGTGGAACCTGCAGTTAAACACAACAGATGATTTGATTTCAGCAGCAGTAACAGCAGTTTCTCTGCCTATCTCACGAGGATTTATTGTAGGCTACATGGAGTCTGAAGAAAAAGAAAGWAAAAAACAAGAAATCCAAGAGGAATGACTTCTGCAGCTCTGAAGTTTGGTTCCAGGTATTGATATTCCAGTTCCAGCCCTGTGTAGTCCAAAAGCCTTAAGGGATCCCATGGGAAGAGCTGAGAAAGCCACAAGAAAGGCACAGAAACCCAAGCTCCTCTCTCTTGGAAGCAGCTTTCTCTCTTATAGATCCAAATTTAGGGATCTTAACGTATTTTTAGCTGTTGGTGTYCAAAAAGAACTGCTAAGCAAGATCCCCTTAACAGACTGCTGCAGGCTGGATGCTTTTCCATGGAAATATTCCATGTTTCCTCCTCAGGGAAAAGCCCTTTGGCCCATTTAGATCAACACTTGTGATGGAAGCAGCCAAATTTAGAGTGATAATGCTGAAATTTTCCCATTCAAAGTGCAGTTATCCACACTTCTGTTTCCTGGCATGTTTAACCAGCAGCAGGTTGATCAGGCAACACAGCAGAGCATGTGCAAGTATCTTTAAAGATAAGAAAAACTCCAAGGTGAAAATATTAATTTTTAATGGAACTTTACCTGAGATGGGCAAATGTACATTATTGTCTTAAATGAAGATAAGTAGTAAATAACTGTCTAAATKTAGCTAATACCTGTAATAAACATGAAGCATAAATCTGAATTGTTTAGTAGATTATATGGACATTGCACAAGGCAATAAAACCTCTGCCCTCCTTTAGTAACACTCCAATACTCTGATTTTTGCCATCACAGGAAGATCCAGCACTTTAAAGTCTGGCTTGGGGCTGACAAGATGTGGCTGTGAGAGCCAACCCTGCCAGGGCCTTTCCATCTGGCTGGGCAGTCCTTGAAGGTGACCTCCAGTCAAGGATCTGGGGTAAGGACTCAAYACACCATCTTCTCAGGTACCACAAAGCTTAAAATTACCTGATTTTGGTGGAATGAAGAAAAGGAAATGAACTAAAAACAGCAGGCAASGAAAAGAGATGTCTCAAAAATAAAAACCAGGGGAAAACTTATTGCAAGCAGGGAGATGCCTGGAGCTGTGCCCAGGAGAGGGATGAGAACTCTGCAGTCCCTGGGGAAGGCAGGCACAGCACCTCAGTCACAGCCCAAGGGGTTCTCAAATCATTGCCCCCTGATACAACATGCAGGGATTTTTTCATGCTCAGTTGGACAAATCAAGCTTTTTGCTCCCTATTTCTCACAGTAAATATGAAAATGCACAACAAGCCTTTCCCTTGTCTGTGTCAGATCACAACCAAGAGAGCCACCAAACCACCCAGCAAGGCTGGGACAGTGCAGTTACTCTGCTCCTTCTGCTGTAACTGCACATTAAATGACAGAAAATCCACTTGGCAAGAGGGTGTCTGACTCCACAGCCCAGTATTTTGCGTTTCAATTTGGATTTCACACAAAGCTGAAACTTGAATTTCTGTCTGTTTTCAGCACTGTCACTGGTTGAGATCTGTGACAGGATCAGTGACATGAAGAGGGCATGAAATGAGGAATCCCTGCTGTGAGAGAGCCCCTCTTTGCCCTCCCTAAGCTCAGCCTGCCTGTGGGTGACCCCACCAAAGCAGCAGAGGGCTGAAATGCAGCACAGACCACACCAGGTGCTCTGTTCCACCGCTGATCCTTGCATTTCACCTGCTCATTCCTTCCAAGCTTTCCCTGCTTGATCCCAGTCTGCCAGGCAGGGAAACTGTCAAGAGTTTTGTCTGATCAATGAATAGGAATGGAGCTCAGACTGGAAAATCTTCCAGTCTGTCTCCATGGCTGGRCAGCCSCMCACACACCTAATAATTCTCAGRAGGAATTTCTCCATGGAAAGGGTGGTCAAGCATTGGCAGGGGCTGCACAGGGAGGTTTGGAGGACCCATCCCTGGAGGTGTCCAAGAAGGAYTGGATGTGGCACTCACTGCTCTGGGCTGGGGACAAGGTTGGGATCGGGCACAGCTTGGACTCAATGGTCTTGGAGGGCTTTTCCAACTTAAATKATTCTCAAATAATTTATTTAAATCCACCTCTGAATTAAACGGCACCAACACGGAAAGTAAGGAATCTTTCCCCAGCTGAGTTAAGACTCCAGACTTGCTTTTTCAGTCCAGTGCTGTTTTGCCTGATAGCATCTTTTTCTTCTCCAATCCCTGTTTTATTCCTGTGTCCATCTTCATTTAAGCAGCTCTCCGCCTTTTCCCTCCTCCTGGCATTCTGCTTGTGGCTCCTCTTCCTCCTGTCTGCACTCTAATGACAAACTAATTTCTCTCCTTCTGCATTATTTTTCATTTCCTTCTTTCAAAGTCACTCTCTGTTCCCTGCCCTTTCCCTGTGCCCTCTGCTCCCCAGCCATCCATTCCCCTCCGACAGCCCACCAGCAATTCCCTCACAATCTGCAGGTTTTTCTTCAGGACAACCTTCCCATTAATCTTTTTAATTTTCCTTCCCAGTCATAAAAATCCGTCCCCTGGTCCTCTGGTGTTTTCAATCTCCTTCCTGGCCATTATTCTTCSCCCGTAAAGCTTTGTGGAGCTATCTCCTGTCATTGCCTCCCTCCCTGATAACCTTCCCTTCCCACGGCACATCCTTCAGATGATGCCAGTCCGACACCCAGAGCCCMTTCCTGGAAGAGCCATCAATTCTATCTGCAGGCTCCCTCTAATAATGGCATGGAAACCAGGCAGGGAGAAGCAATCATTTGTGCTTTTAGAAGAATAAACATGCATTGTTATCTGAGGCAAATTACATCCCATTATAGGGAGTACAGGAGCATCCTGCTCTTGCAGTATCTCCTGGCTGTCTCTTATTTAAAATTATCTCATTTTAAATAACAGCAACATTCTACAACTCCAACTTTTTATTTTTGAGGAGTTTTTTAAAATGATTTTGATGACTGGAGCTGTCTGTTATCTAAGAGCAGTACAAGATATATTTAGAGAATTACAGCTCTGTAGTTAGAAAAAGCACAAGTTACATTTTCATTGCTGAAACAACCACCCCACRGCCAAATCCATGCCCACAATTCCCCGTGGGATGCAGCAGATCACAGCCAGGCTGCTGCAAGCACAAGTGACCCTGCTACAGATCCTCCCCTGTGTCCCATTTGGCCCAAACCTCTCCAGAATCTCCCACGGCACCCAGGGCCTGGGAGCTGAAATTCAGATTTGCTCCTTGTTTTCCCAGCTCAGAGCTGGAATCATGGCAGGGTTCTGGTACAGGCTGGGGACTTGAAAACACACAAGGTCAAGGCTGGGCTCTGGATGTCCTGGAGTGGGGGATGAGGTGGCACATGGAGGCACTGAGGGTGCAATGACAGCTCTGAAGGGCTCCAGGGGGAGGGAGATGAACCCTCCCCAGGTTCAGAGAACCCACAAGGAGTATCCAATGAAAATTTTGCTTTTAATTACATCTGATGACTCTTTGGGTTTGTCTCGAAGGCCAGCACTGAGTCCCCTCTGCTCTCACAGGATGAACAATTTAGGCAGCAGGTCCTGAGGAGGGATGAACCCCAACAGCTACAAACATGAGAAATATTCCAATCCAACCATTTTCCCAAGCAAGAGAAAGCTCACATTAGAATTCACCTCCTCAGCAAGACTGAAAGTCTCCCCCATCACAATTTTTTTTTTGGTACTGTGTCCAAAATCCACCATTGGAAAGAGATTACAAGCAATCCGTGCTTTCACAAACTCCACTAAAATGTTAATTCTCCCCTCAATGCAATTAGCTCACAGGGAGGAAAGTGATTAGACACAAACATTCAGCAGCTGCAAAGTTTGACATTTCCTTAAGGAATCAATAGAGATGGGCCTGGGAACCAAACCTCCCCTGTGCACCGAGAGATCCCTGTTGAGTCTGCACTTTTATCCCGTGGATAAATGTAAGTCAACACTCCTGAATGTCATAATCCCCCCCATTTATGCATGGTCTGTGGCACCTTTTGTTTTTGCATTTGAAACACCGTGTTCCTATTAGCACTGAGATCTAGGAAATTATCCATGGGAAAGATCTCCACACGCAGCCCTTTTCTGCACTGTTGCAGTGGGAACATTAACAACTTTGAATGGATTTCTTTCCCAGCCCAGGTGATTTGGAGCTCTATGCTGCTCACTGAGGTGTCACAGTACCATTTCAACAGTCAGGGAGTTATAATCAAAAAAAGGGGACAAGCCAAAGACCAGGAATAAAGAATTTCTTACAGGTATTTACTGAACAACTGTGGTGATATAAAAACAGCAGGAAGAATCAAGATGAAATCAATCAAAAATTACTCAGTGAAGATTTAATTTAAAAAATCATCATCTCATCAAAAATTTTGGTCAACAATAAMCAAAAGGACTACTACTCCCAAAACTAACGATTTAGATATGGTTSTTAATTACTGCAAGAATGTTTCATCCTTAAAGATATTCCAAGCCCTCCCAGCCCTGGATTTCAGTCGAGTTTATAGTAAGTTATTTGTGGTAGTCACATATGGTTACAAAGAATGATTTATATTCTGCTCTACCTCATACACTGATTGATTATTTATGGTTAATGATACTGATGATAATGAGACTTCACACAGAATGAGAGGGCAGAACACAGAATGTGAAAGTCAGGGAASCAAAATTAACATGGGAATACTGACAAACTTCTGTGGACTCTTCCCTGAACACAAACAAGGAACACGATTTGAGAAAACATCAATTCTTGCTATGCTCAAAAACACTAAATTGAAAACTCCTATAAAGTAATATTCCTAATTCTCCTAAGGACAGGAAGTGCAGTACACGCACTAATGGCTTTTTCAATAAAGCAACTCCATCATTTGCTGGCATTCCTCAGGACAGACTCYTGATTTCCACACTGCAAGTGTCCACAACTGGTGAGACTGGTTTGTGTGAGCATTACAGCTCTGCCCAGGACTGTCCAACACCCATTTAACTCCGTCACAGTAAATATGAAAATTTTAAGGGGCAGATGCTTGGAATAAAGCTCTTTAAAGAGATGCACTGAAGGTGATGTCCCACTCCTGACCAGTTACATCAGTGACTGCACTCAAACCATAMAAAATCTGGCACAGAACTTCAGCAGCTGGACCCACATCCACCTTCTGAAGCTCCAAGCAAGGCATAAATCAAGTTTAGGTGCCCCAAAAGAGCTTCCCTTGGAAGACTGATTCTATCTCCACTGAGAACACCCAGAGCTTGGGGAGAACATGTGCCTGATACAGCCAGCCATGAAGTGACCATCAGGCTGAGTGATGTGACATTTTCTTATACCATCTAATTTTCAGAGGTGCTGAGCCACTTCTGGTGCCTAAATACGTATTTATTATCCCAGAGAAATGGGACGTGAACATCAGAGAGTTTTCACTAACACTACCCTGAAAAGGGGGGAACACCATGCGGTGACCCTAAATTCTGTTCTTTCTACTGAGATTGGAACAGCTGCACAGCACTTACATTCACAACAGATTCCTTGAATTTGATGTGGAGCCTGTAGTTGGAAAGGGCAATGATGGCATCCTCTGCTCGTCCCACGTACTCCGTGCTCTCCCCGTGGAGTTCAATGAACGGCACCTGCACAAACCCAACGGAAATCGGGTTTCAGAGATGATTTCCCAAAAATCTGCCCCTCCTGCAGCTCACAGAATCCAACAAAGCCTGCTGAGAATTCAGCCCCATTATTGTGGCTAAGAAGGAACATCAGGTAAGGTTGGCTCAGAGGTTAATTGCAGCCTTTTTCTTAAATGATCCCTTATTTTATATTACTTTTTCCTGAGCGTTAAGTGCCTGGTCAGGGAAAGCAATGAATTTTTATGAAAAATATCCTCACATTTTGGCAAGGAGGCCGACAAAGCCCTTGATTTATGCTCTCACTCCTTACTTAATGGAGAGTGGCATTTCCATAATGTTATTAAATTCATCCTAAAGYAGGCAAAACATCCAGGATGAATAATGTTCCCTGCTATTTCCCCACTATTCACCCAGCAAGCTCAGGTAACCAGCCTAGACTGGATCCCTAAATGCTACAAAGCTGAGCTCAGTTGGACAAATCAAGCCTTTTRCTCCCTATTTCTCACAGTAAATATGAAAATGCACAAAAAGCTGCTGCTTTATGAGGTGAGAAAACCTGCAGTTCATTACACCACACATGGAAACTGCCACTGGTTAATTAAAAATGTGAGTTAAACTGAAAAAGTWAAAAATTTTAGCTGAGCTGGGTGAAAAATGTAAATGCTCAACTTCAAATTGATCTGGTTTTACACCAATGTAGCTTAAATCAATYAAAAATATTTTATATTCCAATGAAACAAACTCTTCAGTTGCTGTAAGAGTGTGTACATGGAAAGCCAGGCTGGGAGAGCTGGGGATGCTCACTTGGAGAGGAGAAGGATCCAGGGAGAGCTCAGAGCCYCTTKYRGGRCCTAAAGGGGCTCCAGGAGAGCTGGAGAGGGACTGGGGACAAGGGATGGMGGGACAGGACACAGGGAATGGYTTCCCAGKGCCAGAGGGCAGGGATGGATGGGATATTGGGAAGGAATTGTTCCCTGGGAGGGTGGGSAGGCCCTGGCACAGGGTGCCCAGAGAAGCTGTGGCTGCCCCTGGATCCCTGGCAGTGTCCAAGGYCAGGCTGGACATTGGGGCTKGGAGCAGCCTGGGACAGTGGGAGGTGTCCCTGCACATGGCAGGGGGTGGGATGGAATGGGCTTTAAGGTCCTTTCCAACCCGATCTCTTCCATGATTCTCTGTAAATCATTTGATCTAAACTGATTTCAAAAGGAGCTTTGGAAAATGAAGAAATTAAAAAGATCTATTTTTGTGTAACAGAAGACTTTTGGCTTAAYAAAGGCAGTGTTTAATCAGCTCAGTGCTGTGTTTTCAACACAACAGAGTTCTAAACTGTGGAATACAACATGACACTTGAATTAGTACAYAGGGAGCAGTGATATTTTTCAGACAACTGAAGGAATTTCTGGTAATAAAATGCCCAAGTTCTCAGTCCTACCAACAGCAGAGGAGTAAATAAGAAGAAAATTAGTTTCTGTGCTAACTGTGAATTAAAATTCTACAGGAGAGGTGAGACAATCCATAACCAAYTGGGGGCAGTGTGATTTGAACTGGGGAGGAGCAGCGTGGTGATTACCTGAAGGTTCTCATCCTCTCGGATCAGCTGCTTCCTGGGAAAAATCTGATTAGCCTGGATGCATTCAAGGCTGTGCTGAGTCTCTTCATCCTGAGGAACAAAGTGTGACAGTCACCTACAGCCCTAGCACCCACTGCCACCTTCCCCAGCCATCCAGGCAAGGAGAAGYTCCCACAGGATGAAGGGTCCGGAGAACTCCGGCATCAACAAGTTACTAAAGTTACTAAACTCTCAAAGACAGCCCCTCAGACAATAAATCTGGTATTACAAACAGGTTTTCTTCCTGCAGCCTGATTAATTAAGTCATTAAAAAGCTGTAAGATTTATAGYAGCATTAGGGAAAAAGCATTAGCATTATGCTTAAAACTCAACAACCACACATGTAAACATTGATTCCCTCATGTTTTCCCCATTTCAAACTCTTCTGCTCTGTCACAGACCCTACAAAGTCTCTTTGCTTACCATGACAGGCCCTGGGCAGGAGGAGGAATCCTCGTCTTTACTTGCAATACTTTGAGCTCTTCACTTGTTAAAATCTAGAAAATCAGAAAAGTACAATGATGAAATAAAATTCATTTTCTTTTGGCAAATAAATACAAATTAACTGTTAAAGACTGTGAATGTAGCTGTTAGAAAACTGAAAGCAAACAGTAATTATGAAAAGATGAAATCCATAGAAGCTCCTTCTCCTGAGAGCCAAAATTATTTCAAAATGTGTCTGGTTCCTTCTGTTCATCCTGAAAAATCACCTTTGGATGTGCTGCTGGGAGAACACCTGTCTGAAGGCAGCAATTAGACTGGTGTTTATATAATTTAAATTAAAACATGTTCATCTTTCTGGATCCCTTGGAATTTTCTCCCAAGTTGTTCGCAGACGGTGAATCAGAAATCCATGGGTTACAAATCCAAAGGGATCATTGGGATTATTTCAGCTGGTCTGGTATAAAACACATCCASGGTTTGGATCCTTCTGGAGCTTGTTTCAGCTGTGGCACGAGAATTGGARTTTTTATTGGGATAAAAATCCTCATTTTACACTTATGACTCATTTTGGATATCCATGATACATCCAAATATCCCTTTTCCTGCACTGCCCTTTCCAGGAGCTGCAGATCACTACACTGGGGACTTGCTCTCTCCATTACCACACAACCCCAAAACCTTTGATCATCCACAGATTTTCTGGGAATATTAACAGTCTCGAGCTTTATGCAAATCACCCTATTAGAAACTCAATGACTGAAATGAATACAGCAGGTACAACTTGATTTTGAGTTTGATATTGCACTGAACKTTTTTCATCTGGATAAGTTCTTCCCTTTTTTACTCAACCAGGATTCACTCAGGTATTTTACAGGGTTTGCAGATTGGGGCAAATAAAAGTTACAAATGAAAATACATCACTTGAGTCCAGCCAGTTCTCAGTTCACATCCAAAGTTCATATCTCATTTATTTACTTATAAATATATTTCAAATTATCAGTGTTGATAATATCAGGTTGACAGAGAAAACCACTTCAATCCATCAGCTCACAGCACAGCAGTACTGCAGGGAGCCCTAAACACATCCTGTGCTTTGTATGGAATAYTGACAGAGGGAAAAAGAGCAGCAGATGCACATCAAGGATGTGCATGGATGTGTTTATATATACTTACATGAAAAGAGGAAATTATGAGCAGAATCGAGCTCAAACTCCCATGAATTCACTAAAATTGCAAAATGCAGATATAAAATCCTGGAAGAGCTGGAGAGGGACTTGGGACAGTTGGAAGGTGTCCCCGTCCATGGCAGGGGTAGCACAGGATGAGCTTTAAGTTCCCTTCCCACCCAAACCATTCCAGGATTCTATGATATAAAAAATACYTTGTTATTTCAGAGAATTCCTTCAGCTTCACACACAATCATCAAAGAAGCACCAATTTAATTAAAAATATGGGCTTTATTGCAAATTTGAAGCATGCTTAATATCTCTGAGGAAAAGTTTTAATTTTATAGGCACTGGAAAAAATTTTCCTTTATACTTCAGTTTGATTAGATATATGTAATTTAAAAGTTTATTATATCACCACCTACATATTAATAAAACCAGTATTAGCTCAGAAAATTGGGTCTTTTTAAATATCTTACAGCTGTGCTCCAAAAATCCAGCACAAACCTCCAGCAGAGATTACCCAGAGTACCAAGTTTCAGTGTAACTCCTGCAACAGTTTCTACTGTAACAGTGTGGCTTTTTCCATGAGTGTGCCAACCTTCCTTTTTAAGGTGAAATWCGGGAAAGCTGGGGGAAAAAGYAAAATCTGCCTGCATCAGAATTATCAGCTASAAAGGGTGATGCTGCCAAGATAAATGGTCCAAGAAGTTATAGGACTGGTTCTAAAGCMAACACTCTGCTCTGGCTGCTGCTGGGCATCAGTGAAACGCTTCAGTGACTTCCCGGCCACCAAAGGAGCTCTGGAAATTGCTGACAGAAATAGCAAAAAGGCTGAATTGTTCCAAYGAGGCTCTCTGAGCTGATGGGCAGTGAACACTCTGAAAGGAGTCATTCCTTTCCCATCATGGCAACGAGCTGATCCTGCTCCCTCCTGCAGCTCAAGGTCACTGGGCTGAGCACACGGGAAAGGGAACAGCTCTGGGACCAGGGATGGGTCACACTGCTCAGGGACACCCCAAACCACACCTGAATTGACATTTCTTTCCATCCCAAAGCTTCCTAATCCATGTCTCAGTAACCAAACTCTTCCCATGGGACCAGAAGGAGGATCCCAGTAACTGCTGACAGCTCACAAGGGGATTTGTGGCTTTGGAAGCCTTGGAAGTGAGAATAAGAACATTCCTCAAAACATCAACTCCAGAACCCACCCCTGAACTCTCCCCACCATAATTCCCCACTGTGCTGCTCCAAGGGACAGCTCGGGACAAAGCYAGCCCAGCACCAAGTGACTGCACAAACACATTCTGAGCTGACCCACACCAGTTTTAGGATGGCAGAATGGAAGGAGAATTCTCATTTTGATTAACAGCAGCTCTTCCCTGACAATAAACCCCATTTTCCAGAAATGAAACTGAAAGGTATAAATACAGCTCAGATAAAAAACCTGCCCAGGAAAGCAGCTTTAAATTCAGGCTCCTCCTTATCAATAGGATCACATAAAAATAGCAGACAGCTYATACACAGTGCAGTGAAACTTGGTTTTATTGGTACAAATAATATTGAGTTTGGTCAGGACTGAGGCCAAAAAAAAGGTGATGCTATCAATTTACTGTCTGTCCTTTTACCTGCAATTCCATGTGTGTTAAATTACACCAAAAAAGAGAYTGGTCTTGTTAATTCTCCATCCTTATGTTCTGCTTGAAAAGATAAATGATGAGCAAAGGTTGTAACCTCAGACTCTGTTCAACCTCTCTGGGAACATCTTAATTACCTTTTGTTTCAGATGTGCCTTCTGGTTTAAATTATGTACATAATTAAGAGTAGCAATAACCATCTGTTTGCCAGTGATTCTAAACAAAAAAGATTAGATAAATAAAAGGATCGTTTAAATACACATATACTGAAATGCAGTTGGGACTTACAGCAAGAAAAATGAAAAACTGGAGGAGAAAAAGGAAAAATGAAAGAACCCAAACATTTSACTTTGTTCCCTTACCTTCCCCATCTAGATTGAACTCCATTTATTTTAATATSAAAATCAAACTGAGCTGACCCCTGAGCTGTTTACATACTGGGGCACAGTTGCCCTCTAAGTTTGGAATCCAAATTTTTTGGCAAAGGAACATTAGAAAATTTGTGAATTAAACATTCAGGAATGCGCTGTACCTTGAGCAAAAGATGCTTCTGTTGTAAACTGAAAACACTTCTCCCCCTTTGGCAGGTGGAAGGAAATTTCTGAGATAAGGATAAACACTGAGTTTCCCTCATTTCAGTCCCTGGCAGGGAGGTTTCTCCTCTTTCCTGGCACCACAGGCTGCAGTAACTGAGTGACTTTCACCAGGATTTACTGGGGGAGCAGCTGACAACACACACATTTGCACATTATTCAGGAAAAGCAGCACGACAAAGAATCACATTTGAAGATAGGGCACAACTAAGAGTCAGAAGCCTTTTTTTTAATAATTAAAGACTGCAAACTCCAACTCAGTAAAATAAAGATTTTTGTCTAAGATCTTGGRAAACATTTTGTTTAATTAAGAGAATAATCAATGGTAACCACAGAATTTAGCTCATCTTACCAAAATAATGTAATTCTTACCAAAGAATGAGAGAATAAACAGTCCTCTCTTGTCCCAGAAAGTTCCAACAGTTCTTATCTGATATTTCACATTGGCAGCTGCAAATAAAAAGACGGTATTTTAAAACATGAACTTTCTCTTGAAAAACCCACTTCTGAACCAGCAGTTTGGACAGGACACTTCACTGTTAGGGGAGTTTGGATTAATTAAAGAGGAGAAAGAGAAAGACTAAGTGCTTTGTAGTTGTAACAAGAGCTTAAAATGCCCACAGAGGGAATTCCAGGACTGGATTCCAATGGACACACGTCCTGGATAAGGTCTCTCTTCYGGTAAGGAGCAGTTCCAAAATCATGGCCACAAAGAAATTCAGAATTCTCATAAATGAGTGAATAAAACCTAAATTATGTTGCAACRTGAGCTACAGGAGAGCATCTGATGGAAGATCCAACTGGATTTATATCCATCTTCAAAACTGGYTTTAATTTTATACTGAAATTAGCATTTTCCCCCCAAGAAAGCCAATTAAGACCCTCAAACAGAGGTTGCTGCCCATGTACTTTGGGACAATGGAGCAATAATGCCAGGGAACAGCAATGCTCGTGAGGCCACTCCTGCCAAGCCCTATCCTTTGGATTTTCAAGTGCTGTACAAACACTTTTTGCCTTAAACATGAAGTACTGTGCCAGAAGCATATATTTGTCAAAAATYAGAYGGAGAAAATATCTGATCTGCTTCAYTGGTACAGTCACACCAACAGATATCTCCTRTGGCCTTCCAGGACATTAAAGTTCCACACTAAAATACCCAAACCCTAAAACGCAGAATTCCAGACTAAACCCAACCGTTCCTAAAGCACACAAGCAGCCAAACTGATGGGACACCACTCCCTTGTATCCAAAGATTTGCTGTTCACAGTAACTTGGACACTTGCCCAGTAGCACACTGCATCTGGATGTGCCTGGAAAGTCCAATTTCCACACCATATAATCCTGCTGCTGGAAATAGTTGGCCTGTACTTTGATGTGCCACAGCTACTGATAATTTTCACATTCTGGTGAAAGAAATAAAATATTTTTGTACTTTGCATTCATTGTATCCTTTCATTTATGGCTTATGACAGGGAAAATAAGAAATACATAGAGAAAGAGATATAATTTTAGGACTGATGCAGGAGAAAGAAAGAGTTGAAAAATTGTGCGTCAAAAATGGTGCATTCCAAAGAGATGTGCCCCAGGCCCAGCATCAGTAGCCAGGTCAGGACAGGGATTGTCCTGCTCTTCTCTGGGATG